ACTTTCAATACAGAAGTTTTATTTAATTTACCATGGCAGAAAGGCAATAACATTCTCAAATTAATAAATGATTGGAAAGCTATTATGTTATGGTTAGCATCAACACCTGGTGGGGATTCAATTAATAAATACAAAAGTATAACTTTACAGTCTGGATATGCCATTAAAGATTGATTAAAGGCCCTATAAACTACTATTACACCAAGCGGTCAACTGTATTCTCACAAAGGTAAAAATGCATCAGATTTTATGCGTTTTATAGTTACGATCTGTAGATAGACTTTACGGTCGGCGTACACTATTAAGCTTAATACACTCTTTTATCTGAACATTGATTAGTCTTTTGGAAAAATTTAATAAAAAAATAGGTTTGCGCCTCTTCAAAGAATTTATTGAGGACACATAACAAAAAGTAACGTTTAAAATAATCTCGTGCACCAAAAGAAAGCCATCCAGACTGTATTGAAACGTATAAAAGATGCGCGCGTAAAAATGCAAATTGATGAGATCAAGACGGAGTGCGATCCGTGTCGTTACACTGCGCCGATTTCCCCGCCGTATCCAGAAATCGGGAGTTGTGAAGGAGCGTACGTTGACATCGTGGATGTTCGCTCGCAAAAAAATTCGTGTTTTGTATATAGTGTCCGCTAAAAAGGCGAGCAGACGGCGTCGCGGCGGCGGGTCGACGGCCGCTCCCGGAATAGCCAGCAGCAGCAGCTATATTTGCAGCAGAGAAGCGCGCGGAGGGGGGGCCAGCGCGTGCCATTTCTGCACCACCGCCCGGTGCATCTGAGTAATACCATTGTAATGCTCTCGATATAGTCCTAATGACTGGACGCGCGCAGACGCGTTGTCGGCACCGACGCCGCCGAGGCTACGGCTTGCTCTACCTTATTCAGCCGTCGTAAATCATCCGCCGACATAGAAAACGACAACCGCACACGCCAATAATGCATCTATTTAATGAGCCAGATTCATATGAATCGGAGTGCAAACGGCGGACCTCCATACGCAGTTGCTATACCTAATGTATATTGATGAGAGCGAATCGTGGGAGCTACCGCTCCGAACGACTGTCATTTGTCATCGGTGAGTTCCCGTCACATCACATACGCATACTTTCTTACAGTCCGCAATTACCTTTTAAAGTCGGTAAATTTGCCGAACCAACAAAAAACACGCGTTCGCTTAATGGGATGATTAATGACGGCAAAGAAAAAAAATCGCTACTCGATCCGCCATTATGGCATGATTTGCGGCAAAATCCTTTGCTTTATATAGGTATGGTATTTAATAAGTCTTAACTAATGAAGATCATCTGTGCGCGTAACAGATACAAAGTTTATCGTCATTAACGCCTTTATGTGTGTCTATAGATAGTTTTAATTGAACACTCCGAGGAAGTGTCATATTACACAAGCGGGCCAGGTCACCCGAAAATGGTATATTAATGACGATCATCAAAGAGAATATACATACTCAGAGTCCATAAAGTCGTATGTCGCCTCGATTTCCACACGCGTGGATAGTTTTCGCGACAGATGGCCCGTGTGAGTCACTAACCTGTATGTCCAGTGTACGTTTCCATCGTAATCGAGACGACAATATCTTATAAATCTTCTGTAATATCAATAAAACAGTAAAAAGCAACTTAAAACGCCTGTTAGCGCTAAATGAGTAAGTTTATTAGCTCTTAATAAAGCGTTTCATTTGTGAAACGGTCGAATATCAAATATCGCACCGAAAAAGGAATGACATCAGTCAGTAACCTAAAACAGGGATGACATCATTAATTTAGAAAATGAAAAGTCATGTAAGCTGTGACGGCTTCGTAACAAATGACTTGTGTTTTACCAGGCAAAGTTCCCGTACATGAAATCTTTCAGAATAGCTCATCATTTTAACGAGTATACATATACAATCAGTTATTTATAATTAGTATAATTCAGTCAAAAACTCATACAATAATGTTTTCTACAAGATTAGTATCTACCATGTATCTATCACGTATTTAGTCCCCGATATTTCAGCGTTGTTACACGCGCCAGGATCATGGAGTAATTGAAGTCTTGCGGGTGGGTATTATTAGCAGATATATCAATCTATGTAGATTCTTGCTAGTCCTCTTACTTTCGATAACCGTACCACTATTCACTAAGTCAGTACTAATTCGCACCTGTTCATGACACACAACACTCACGCGATCGCGGAACCACAGTTTTTTGACTATTCTGATATTGACATATACCAACCACTGGATTCCAGATACTCGAAAATTTAAACCCATCCTCATTTTTATGCTTTGTTACGTGACATGGTAATGATCCCGTAGAAAACTATCATTCTTCTCCACTATTCTTTTATTAGTTAGTTTATAAGCATTTGTTTATATGGCTTTTTCTCATCCATGATTACACGGATTTCGGAATAAGTATGAGTCGCTGAAGAATGGTTTCAAGAAGATGAAAAGTACAACATCCGCGTTGCGAAGAATTGAAAATACCCTGTCCCAAAACGCATTATTCCTGTGTATACCTAAATGCTTTTAACAGTTTCAGTGTAATTGACCAGCAAACGATATCATTTTTTTACTTTACTCCATAATATGAAAGTTTTAGCTACTCATCTAGCAATCTAAACAATGTATGTGATAATATCTAATAATATAATATTCTTTATAAATACTTCTAATATCTATAGAAAACTGTTATACGGTTACTATTGTCGAGTAGGTATAATAGCAACAATGCGACGATTATGTTCACAGATGTCAAATCGAAGTTATTTACTCAATCGAACGTGTACGTGTAAATAGTTTCCATATTTGCAATATACCAATAAAACAAGTCGTGGACTTTAATTATTATCCCCTTTGAAACTGAGGAACAAAATGCGTTATCACGTGCTAATCGTTAACCCGCTACGAAGAAGTCATACTCTTTCATTCTTCCCACTGCTGAGGCTTTCTCTATTGATTGAACAATATATTGTTGATCACAGGTTCATTTAAAAGATATTAATTACAAAAGCAATGAGATGAGCTCAAAATGGCCGGTCATCACGCCTGTCACAATAAAACATAATCAGATTAAGCAGCATAAGGATAATAAAAATATATAAGAAAATAAGATCCGTATACGAACTTCAGAAACATTATACGCATTTTTCAGGTGGTTCATATACTCAAGTCTATTGAATTCTGGCGCAGATTTATGTAAGTTGTTAATGTTAACCGCCACACTTGAATTGAATTTTCATTAACATATGAATTGGCTTGTGAATGTGAGTGTTATTTTACAAGTATTTTCAATTTTAAAAAAGATAATTATTTTTAGTGATATATAAAAATTTTGTTTTAACAAAAATCATAAATAAAAGATTTATGAAAAATAAAAGAGTTTTGTTCAACGATTTCTCATCTAAGTATTTACGTTCTTTGGCAGAATCATCATCACCATCACCAGCCTATTAATGTATCCACTATTGGAGCTCAGGCTTTCCCTAACTCAAATTGATTAGGGAGAATGGGCCATGACCCACCACTTTGCCTAAATGTTTACTGTTATTTTCTTATAGGTATAAAAAAGATGTGACGATCTATTTGTCGGACCACCATAGATCCAGTCTTAAATTTACAGAAATCTCTTTATAATTTAAAATTCCCTATAGAATTTCCTGTCTTATTTTCCAAGCGCATATGTCCCAGACCTATTTAGGGCGAGAGTGAATAAGTTCCTTAGGAGCAAACGCATCGCACCTTAAATTTTATTCATGTCCTCCGATAGGATTGAGATCAAAACTGGGCCCATTTAAAAAAATGTATAATCATAATTACGCCTATTAATAATTTCCATTACAGCAGTACGTAAAGACGACGCTTCATTAAAATTTGGCTTCGGTCCGCTACCTAGCCAACCCATCGTTAATATTATCCACGTCACTCTCTAAAAAGACCGTTACTATCAAGATGCTCTTTCGCTATTGTTAGCATCAGTTCCCATCCTCAAAACAAATAGAAATTTTTCATCACAAACACCATACCGATTGCAACAATAGACACATTAGCATATGTATGTAATTAATTTAAATTGTAACGAATTAATATTGTAATTTGAAATGTTGAAAACAACACCGTTCAAAACGGTTTATCATTCCGAATCTATAGTTTTAACGCAGTACCAATACCAATTTGTAACAAAAAAGAGGATATCCTACAGTTTAACAGTAATTTATAAAAGTTTAGGAAACTTATTAATAAATTAATATACCAAATACGCAAAATAAAAAAGGGATATGCTCCAAAGCTGCCCCAGAATTTTGGCATGTCTTAATATAAAAAATACATACAATTACTAAAAGTATACAATCAATTTCCTAGAAACAATTGGAACCCTTCCGGGTTCACTATAAACTATAAACATTATAGGGTTCCCCCTATAATGTTTATAGTAAAAAAAAACACACGGGTGACTTTATAAAACCATAATGAAAAATTATAATAATAATTTACATCTGTCACACGGAAATTAATAACTTCGTATTTAGTGGGTTTGAGAATATAAATAAATATTAAACAACATCATAGACATTATTTACTACACTAGACCCGACCCACTACACTAGACCCGAAACAATATAGAAAAGTTCATTTTCTGAATCGACTCCGGCACCTATGGACTACGACGTTAATACGACTTTTAAAGGTATCAGTAAAATAGAAGTCAACTAATTCCAGAAGCAAATGATAATAATTCCTATTGTTGAATAAACTATTTACAGATAAATTCAAATTTGATTGCGACTTTTACTTGTGACGCATAGACTTTTACTTGTGGGGCAAACTATGTATGGAGCGTGGGTCATTTCCTCTAATAAATTTTAGATACCCATCAGTGTTTGGAATAATCATTTTCCTAATTCTATTCAATCTAGATTCTGATCACTGTTGTCAAAACTGTCTTTGGCCAATGAAAAAAGTACCATAAACTAATAAAACTTACAGTTTACATCCCCTGGGCAGGTTTTGCAACATCTTCCCGGGAGCAACACCGGTGTGTCGCACGTTGGCTCAGGGCACTCGTTCTTTATATTCCGACATCGCACTTTCGCAACCACTCGTCTTTTCTTTTGCACCTGTTATTAATAACACATAATCACAATCACATAATCCAATTTGATTAATTATCAAATATATCATAATATTAAAAATATGTAAAACTATAGTTTACTCGGCGACTTGTCAATGTACTGTATTTATCGTTAAGAAAGTTTTTAGTAGGATAAAAAGTAGCTTATATAATAAGGCTTAAAATTAAACGTATACCAAATTAAAATTTGGACTCAGAAATAATTCGTGACGAATACTTATTTCACGTTTACGAACTATGAAACTGGCGTAAGCGTTTATAAATCTGATATTTTTTTAAATATTGCAATCAAAGAATTTATTTATCTTATGGGAATCGAAACGAAATTGAGCAGAATTATAGAGCCGTTACCCAATTAGTTACATATTACGGGTGACTTTTTAAACAATTTTCTATAAGACCTAATAATCTAGACATTTAAGCCTATCTTGTATTACGTTATTATATATTGTATTCTCGTAAATACTTAAGTGAACACTAAATAAGCACTGAAAAATATGACTCTACTTTTTCTTTTAGTTTCAAAGTTCTTTCAATTAGAAAAAAAATAATGACTCGAATTCGTCCAACGTGAGAATAAATATCCAAGACAGTGTTCATATTGTTATAAGCCGTTGCGAATTTCAATTAGAATCTATGAAATATTTATATTTCATTTAGAAACTCATCTCTGTATAATAATTTTGAATTTCGTTTAAAAAAGTAATTAGGACCACAGCTTCAAATTTTCCTTTGAATATCTACAAACGTGTGTTTTATAAACTGCATCGTTTTTGTACAATTTACTATTGACGCAATTCACGCAATGATGTTAATAAAATAGTAATTGATATAGATGCCTGTTATAATTTCAGTGTTTTTAATATCTGAGATTTCATCTATTTTAATAAATAAACAACCTAAAAGTATCATATTTTAACTCGTATCAAATCCTGAATATGATTTTTACTATTATTTTAAAAGTAAAAACATAATAGCCTAAATAAAAATAAACTATCGGAAACATACGCACTAAAAACATTCTTTAACTTGTCCTCCGTCATATTACCTAAAAAAAACCTTAGGTTGTACTCTCTTCCTGCTAAGGTGTTAAGAAGTCGTTGGGACAATAAGGCCCTGCGTTAGGCCTTATTATCCAAGTAACTGGGCTATGGGCTATGGTGTATACGTACAAAATAATAATTATCCAGGATTTACATTATAAAACATGTATATTTAATACGTACCGGTAAACACTCACATTTGAAGCAGTACATTACGCCGAAAGGTGGTCCCAGGTCCGCAAACCATGTGGATCCCAATTCCTTTGCCTGTTTGTCGAATTGACATTCTGAAACAAAACAAAAGAAAATTATTATGTTTGACCAATTTTACATTCGCAATACTATAACGGAAAATATTCTTAATGACTGAAAGCTTTTATTATCCATATAGGTACTAGTGTTGACTTGTAGAAAACAGTATGTAATACAAATAATATACAATGCTCTTCGTCGACATCGTGAACGGATAGATGTAATATATATAAAAAGCTATTAACATTAAAAAAAAAACATCCGAATTATAAAAGAGATGGAAGTAGTAATATGCCACCGGTGTGAAATCCAGTAATTAGTCAAATAAAATCTCAATCCAGATCACACATTTAAAAACCAAAAGATACAGTTAATTCATTCTATAAATACTCGTATTAACTCAAAGGGAGCAATTCACTTTTCTTGTCTGTTTGTTCGCCAGTTCATCTCAGACAAGACTCCCAAAGGAACTGGTAGTGGTAAATAAATAAGCCAAATGTATCTCTAAAATAATTTCATTTAATTAATGTAAACGTTTCCATTTTTTTTTTAAATTCTAATGTGTCCATTAGTATTAGTATCGTTTTGAAGGTAGCTAAATGTATTTTTAATACTTTTAATTACAAAGACATTGAACACCTTACTCTTATGTGAACACGGAACCTACAAAGGGTCTGAAACATCAACAAAAGAAAGTACAATCGCGAAGAAACCGTTTAAAGTCGTTTCATCTATAAAATTAATGTAGTCATCTGTTTTATAGATGCAATAATTTTAACATTGAAAAAATGTTGAGCTATTTATGATCCATTCTTAACCGACGTCATGTGTTCAGTAGACAGTTACGTCATAACCGACGACATCATGTTGGTTTAAATGCTGTCTAAATATCGGCATTACGATCGTCTAAATTACATAGGAACGACTCGACTAGACGACCTATTTTGTGTTCGATATAATTTGTTATGAATACTTAATATGTATTTTAAAAGCGTAAGCGTAAATGAAAATTCAGTCAGCGGATGACAAAGGCTATAATATTCGTGAGTGAAGTCACGGGACATGGCTAGAGCATTGTTTATAAAATGTATAGTATTTTACAAAATTGTATTTATTATGTTAAAATCAATTTATGAAAAAAAAAATTTTTTTAATCATTTCGAAAATAAATATTTACATATTGACAACATCACATACATTGCTCAGGTTCCAAGATGAGAAGATAAAGCCCCTTATTATCTAGTATCTAAGACAACGAAGGTATCACAACACCCAGACTCGAGACAATATAAAAAAAGTTAATTTTCTAAATTGGTTCATTGGCAACAGCAACACCCTGAAACCGGCGTGTGAACCACTCGGCTACGGAGGTCGACCAAAATAGACGAAATTTCGTTTACGGAAAAACAGACTTGTCCTTCAGGTGTCATGTTAATTCGTACGCATAATAGGCAGAGGTAAGAATCAAAACTAGGCACAGTATTTACCACAAAACAGAAATTATGTTCTGTAGTATTTACAAAATTCTTCGCTACCTCGACCTTTTTACAGCTTCATGACAAAAGATTTCACATAAAAACTCTTCGATTATTAAAAGTGACGTCATTGAGGCTATCTTCAATTGAATGAATACTTCATATACCAATATTAACGATCCATGCACCCAACACCAATACATAAAGTTTTCCAAGATAAACTTTAACAATACAAATTGTTAACTACCTGGTCCGCACGTACATGATTTATACGAGCCGCTAGGCGCATCGATGCAACTGTTAACAAGACATTTACATACCGCACTCGCAGTGAACATCTAAAAATAAAATTGCAGTTCGTTGTGTTAAAACAAAACAACCGCTTTGGAACGTTAAGGTAAAAACTTGTCGTATTGGGTAGACCCGACCAGCTAGACCTAGTTCTTTTTGCGTGCCCGATCCACAAACATTGTTTTAAGATTCAACAATTCCCATTCCAATACTAAAAGCCCTTTTACATTAAAATCTAAGTGATTTTAAACCATACTATTTGTTACATTTTCATCTTCTTTAGCTTGCAAAGGTTCAAAGAGGTTTGAATGCTTCTGTATGCTTTTAATGCTAATGCTATGATATGATATCCTTTTGAAAACTTTGGTGTGATGCGTGCACAATTGCACATACTACAAAACTCACATTATGATACAAATATCTTGAGTACATTCTAACATTAAAAAATCACTCGCACTTAATCCAATGTCGTGTTTGCACTATCAGATGCGTCAAGTAGATAAAGTGGGTGTCCTCTATAAATAGGCAACACTGTTATCTCCTCGTAACTATTTAATTAACCTCACTCCTGGACTGCATTGATAACTGCGACATGTTGCGTGAGAACATATTGGTTTTTGTGCCAATAAATGCAATCAATACGAGTATCGATACAATTGTATTCAACTTTGCTATTTAATCAATATATCTGCAACGATAATAAAGATGAGAGTATTGTACTCAGATATTATAACATTACCACCCGGCTATTGTCAAAATGGGTGCATAGTTATCCGTAATAAGGAAGGAGGGTGGCGCGGCGCCAGCATCGCGGATGCAACAATCAGATCACATGTTATAGCCCGCTCATAAATCCGATTTGCCCATCTCACTAGCTTCCTCTTTACCGAAGTTACGACAATAATTCCAACAACTCACATTATAATTTAAAATGAGCTGCCCAGACAGTTACAAAAAAATGACGTTACGTCTTTTTACCTTAACGGAATTGGTGCCAAGAAGCCGTCACCGTTGCCACTCCTGCTCAATCTTCGAATCGGCATAGTTTGCCAAATCATACCTTACACCTATTCTGAATTTGAACATTAACGTATACATATTTCTTGTCAAATAAGAATATACCTACATATGAAAATATTATCTTTGACACGATTTAGGAATATAAAGTGAGGCGAGACATCTTGTAACCTTCTCTAGTTTTCTCGGAAACATTGGCGTTGATCCAAAAACTCTTCGCCAAGGAAATGAAGTATTGGCGACGCCCGTCTCATGCTTCTTTGACGATCTCTTTATGGAATTCATTTGCGTTATGATCTTGTTTATAAAATTTTATATTCATTGACGTCTTAAGATTTCGTATAACTATTATAGCGTGTTCATCACGGGTCGGTGGTACGTAATATTTATTGTAAATGTATGCAATGCGAGGTATATAGCAATTTGCAATCTATGAAGCGTGGCGTGCATGGCCTCACGGTTACAGTATTGTGTCATAGATCACGGCAAGTATGAGTTACACATCAAATAGCTCGATTGGTGGTATTGAAGCGTGTGCAAGTCGCTTCAATAAATCGTCTACATAAAAGGGATGAAAGCCGAACGCCATATTTCAGCGAGCGTGGGCAGAACATAAATTGTTCACTTCGAATTAGCCTTAAGGAGAATATTTTGACGTTTATTCTGTCGGCTACTTTACACTCGGATTCAAGATGTACCGCAAAACCGAACAAATTATGTGGGTAATATATTATTGGCATATACGCCTTTTCATCAGGTCGTAACCAACTTGTTGTCCTTTTGTATTTACGTCGGACCGGACGACATCATAAATCATTATGTAACTATAAACGCAACATGCCCAAATACAAACTATATGTATACTGTGCGACTTAAGGCCGGTTTAATTAATACGGAAATAATAATTTACAATTAAAACATATGTTAAACCTTCCTACATACCGACACTGTAAAGCCAATCCATCAGACAAAAACAATGTTGTGTACTTTGATATTATATTTTCATTTGTGATCGCATCTGAAATGAATTATTAAATTGCTGTTGCTTTTTGAACTCATAAGACTAAAACACTTTATCACGATATTTTATAAACAAATAAATATTCAAAACAAAACAATTCGAGTCTTTAGAACTGACATGGTAACAGACAACTTAAAAAAAATCGACTGATTGAAATTCGGTATCCATAAACGTAAGATGTGAGCATAAAGAAATTATTCATACACCCTGTAACAAGTATACAATAATCCTTAAATAAGCTGAAATAGAATATATGTAATTGTTTGTTTCACTTTTTAGTTTTATTATTATCTTAAAATCAGGTTCTATCAAGCGAAGTATAGCATTCGCCGCCTCAGGTGTGTCGGCCACAGATTATGTAAAGTGCTGGTGTCGGATGTCACGACAGGTGGTGGTCTCTAGTAATAAGAATTATTCTCGTCCCGCCTAGCTTACTGTATTTGTGAATCATAACGACACTGTTTAAGTATTATCGCAATTAAACGACGAAAAGTCTCCTATTTGGGTCATGTTCTTCGACATCAGAGATACAAACTTCTGCAACTTATAATGATGGGCAAAATTCTTGGAAAGAGAAGTTTAGTTTTAATGATAATTGAGGCTATCATACAAAGTAACCAAGTAACTATTTTTTTATTTTAGATTTGTATATGTGCAACTCTGTGCTAATTTTCGAAAATGAATTCGCAAAGTACCTATTTCTAGAGCATTCATTTCAGAGATCTTACTCGATTTACTCATGAAAATTGCATCAAACTCAGTGTCAGGTCCTATTGGTTGCATCATAAATTATCAAGAAATGGGTATATTAACGATTCGAATATAGACGGAATTTCGTTTTCGAAGAAACATAGTAGACCTGGATTTTATAAAAATGTAAGAGTATTTTTAAATGAATATTATTTATTTTGTCAAGTAAAAACTTTTTGAAAAATCTCATCAAATCTACTGCCAAATACACGAAATGGTATTTTCAAATGTTCAAATCTTAAAAATATTGTTTGAGAAATTAGTAAAAAAATTTACTGTTAGGAATTACTTTATCAAAAGGGATATCGCTCATTTTTAAATACATAACTTCCAAACGAATTATTGGCATTCATTGTCTGATCACTTATTTATAGCCCTTCGTGTGTTTATGGCATGTCGATAAATTTAATGACGCAAAGAACATTCTAAATATATTCGAAATTCAAATGTTTTATCCGATTTCCTAACATGAACAGCAAAG